ATAAGTGTAGAGGTCACACTGATGGGAGCTAGAGATAAGTGTAGAGGTCACACTGATGGGAGCTAGAGATAAGTGTAGAGGTCACACTGATGGGAGCTAGAGATAGTTGTATAGGTCACACTGATGGGAGCTAGAGATAGTTGTATAGGTCACACTGATGGGAGCTAGAGATAGTTGTATAGGTCACACTGATGGGAGCTAGAGATAGTTGTATAGGTCACACTGATGGGAGCTGGAGATAGTTGTAGAGGTCACACTGATGGCAGCTAGAGATAAGTGTAGAGGTCACACTGATGGGAGCTAAAAATAGTTGTAGAGGTCACACTGATGGGAGATAGAGATAGTTGTAGGAGTCTTACTGATGGGAGCTAGAGATAGTTGTAGAAGTCTTACTGATGGGAGTTAGAGATATTTTAGTTTTCATTCTGCCTATGATTAGAAGTAATAGAATTTCAGCATCCAGATCAAAACCTGCTAGAGTCAGCCTGATTGATTGAATTGAATTTATCTCTACATATTTTCCCCATCTGATGATGCCATTGATATCTTGCATGGAGGGATTATTTAGTGCATGTGGACTTGAATGGTGGGAGGAATATGCCATGTGGGTTCTATACCCTCACACCCTGCCATTTACATGTTTACATGAAGGAATGTTATTTCTGTTCTATCAGACTTTCATATCCCTCCTGAACATCTGCACCATGCTCTAGCTTGGCTCCCATTCTGTTGCTGGTGTGGACCTACTTCCTTGTTTGTACTTCCTTTGGACCCCCTCTATCTTGATCCTATCTTAATGATTCCACATGTTTGTCTAGGAGTTTGTTTTGGAGTGATATAGATTATAAACAAACAAAGTAACGGATAAGATCAGCCATGTTTTCTGCCATTTCTACAATCACCTGATCCTAGACCTTTATTTACTGTGTGGCATTCCACAGACTCTGATTCTCACTGGTGCTGACATTTCAATCTACCTTAGATCTCTGTACAAATGTAACTATTAAACTATTACTGTTGGTGAAAGTACCATCTGGCCAATTTGTACTGATTCTATTTATTTTTGGCAAATCCACAACTGGTATCTGCTACGTATACATTGTACATTGTAATTGTTGAACAAGTACATTGTAATAATATAATGTACATTGTATTCTTTCAAAATGTACAATTACATTGTAATAATATAATGTACAATATAAATTCCTTCAAAATGTACAATTACATTGTTATAATATAATGTACATTGTCTTCCTTCAAAATTTACAATTACATTGTAATGATATAATGTACATTGTATTCCATCAAAATTTACAATTACATTGTAATTATATAATTTACATTATATTCCTTCAAAATTTGCATTGAAACAATTAAACATGTACATGATAATAATTTATTGTATATAATCTATTTTATATAATTTCATGTTTACATGATATTAACGATGATGTCAACATTTGGCCAATGGCATTCAAAGCTGATATGAATGCCATCTGAACTTGGTATGTGTAGTGGCAGCGCCATTATGTGGTAAATATGGCTGTACCACCTTCACCCTGTATCTGTTAACTTTTCCTTGTCATCACACACCTGCCGTTATCTAAAGACATCAAAAACAGTAGATTTTATGTTAACACATACATACAGCTAAAAGTTGTCAAACATTTCTGCAAAAATCATTCTGGCAAAGTTCCAAGGTCACAGGGGTCATAGAAGCAATGGAAGACTGCAAATGCTGATTTTCTCAAAAACATAGCTGTTTTATTTACACATATGGTAACGATTTTGTAGGAAATACAAAGAAGATTATTCCGACAAAGTTTCAAGATACAAGGTGAGGTCAAGGTCAAGGTTACATCAGATGGTTAAAAAAGCTAATTCTGTCAGGTTACTGTAAAAGTTGCCAACTTTCCATAATTTCTTCAATACTAATTCTCCTTGCATACTAATGCTATAATCCATCCGCCCGGCGGTCTGACAGGCAGAGCATGAAAGTGCTCGCAGTTCACTTGTTCTGTTTGCAATGCTCTTCTTACTACTGGTGTTCTACTCATAGCACATCATTATTATTATCAGTTTTACACATGTGGTGCTTCTTTTTGATCAAAACAATGTATAAAAAATCTATGGTATTGTAGTGGTTTGTTATACACTGTTGTTATTGCTTTGTATTGAGTCATTTTGGTACATATATATAACAACTATTGTACATTATACATTTCCATTGTAGCTGAAATCGACATCAATTTTATGTACAACTCGCACACATTTTACACCTTTGTGTGCATACGCTTCACTGGTCATTTGTCTGATGAAGGTGACAGTGCACATATCGTACTAATCATCGAAACGTCACATAGAATTTTTTATTGGATGTGTAAAAAAGAACTTCTCATAATTGCTGTATCTCGTTATGGTTTTAACTAAAATACATTTATTCCCAGTGTAATAGAGTTTATATTTGGCATGTTTCAGACTTTATCAGCCTTCACTTTCGGCCAATTATCTTTCATTATCTACATATATTAGCATAGCACTTTTTGGCGAATGTTACAGACTCTACATCAGAATTTGTTTAATGAACATGTTGATTACACTTATTTCAGTTTTCCGTGGAGAAGCTTAGCAGCTGTAGTCTGTCATTGTTATCTGTCTATCAAAGACCCGTTTTTAAGACGTTACGATACTCAAGCTTTACTACTGATTTTAACAGCTAGTCGGTTTGGTATGATGTATCCCCGGGGACACCTGTAGAAGGGAAGGGTTGCTGTCCTTGAGGCAGAGAAGCGAGGGGCCAATAGGGGATATACAGATGAATCTTTTAAAAGCTTTTCCTGTAGAATGATTAATCAGACTTTGACCGAATTTGTGATGTAGCAACCTTTGGTAAAAAACAATCAGTTATTCATATTTAAAGTTTGATGTTATCCTTATAGGGTACGTATATTTAGAGTTTGATGTTATCCTTAGGGTACGTATATTCAGAGTTTGATGTTATCCTTAGGGTATGTATATTTAGAGTTTGATGTTATCCTTAGGGTACGTATATTTAGAGTTTGATGTAATCCTTAGGGTACGTATATTTAGAGTTTGATGTTATCCTTAGGGTACGTATATTCAGAGTTTGATGTAATCCTTAGGGTACGTATATTTAGAGTTTGATGTAATCCTTAGGGTACGTATATTTAGAGTTTGATGTTATCCTTAGGGTACGTATATTTAGAGTTTGATGTAATCCTTAGGGTACGTATATTTAGAGTTTGATGTAATCCTTAGGGTACGTATATTTAGAGTTTGATGTAATCCTTAGGGTACGTATATTTAGAGTTTGATGTAATCCTTAGGGTACGTATATTTAGAGTTTGATGTAATCCTTAGGGTACGTATATTTAGAGTTTGATGTAATCCTTAGGGTACGTATATTTAGAGTTTGATGTAATCCTTAGGGTACGTATATTCAGAGTTTGATGTAATCCTTAGGGTACGTATATTTAGAGTTTGATGTAATCCTTAGGGTACGTATATTTAGAGTTTGATGTTATCCTTAGGGTACGTATATTTAGAGTTTGATGTAATCCTTAGGGTACGTATATTTAGAGTTTGATGTAATCCTTAGGGTACATATATTTAGAGTTTGATGTAATCCTTAGGGTACGTATATTCAGAGTTTGATGTTATCCTTAGGGTACATATATTCAGAGTTTGATGTAATCCTTAGGGTACGTATATTTAGAGTTTGATGTAATCCTTAGGGTACGTATATTTAGAGTTTGATGTTATCCTTAGGGTACGTATATTTAGAGTTTGATGTAATCCTTAGGGTACGTATATTTAGAGTTTGATGTAATCCTTAGGGTACGTATATTCAGAGTTTGATGTTATCCTTAGGGTACATATATTTAGAGTTTGATGTAATCCTTAGGGTACGTATATTTAGAGTTTGATTAATCCTTAGGGTACGTATATTTAGAGTTTGATGTAATCTTTAGGGAACGTATATTTAGAGTTTGATGTTATCCTTAGGGTATGTATATTTAGAGTTTGATGTAATCCTTAGGGTACGTATATTTAGAGTTTGATGTAATCTTTAGGGTACGTATATTTAGAGTTTGATGTTATCCTTAGGGTATGTATATTTAGAGTTTGATGTAATCCTTAGGGTACGTATATTTAGAGTTTGATGTAATCCTTAGGGTACGTATATTTAGAGTTTGATGTAATCCTTAGGGTACGTATATTTAGAGTTTGATGTTATCCTTAGGGTACATATATTTAGGGTTTGATGTTATCCTTAGGGTACGTATATTTAGAGTTTGATGTAATCCTTAGGGTACGTATATTTAGAGTTTGATGTAATCTTTAGGGTACATATATTTAGAGTTTGATGTAATCTTTAGGGTACGTATATTTAGAGTTTGATGTAATCTTTAGGGTACGTATATTTAGAGTTTGATGTAATCTTTAGGGTACGTATATTTAGAGTTTGATGTAATCTTTAGGGTACGTATATTTAGAGTTTGATGTAATCTTTAGGGTACGTATATTTAGAGTTTGATGTAATCTTTAGGGTACGTATATTTAGAGTTTGATGTAATCTTTAGGGTACGTATATTTAGAGTTTGATGTAATTCTTAGGGTTTGTATGTGTAGAGTTTGATGTCATCCTTAGGGTACGTTTATTCAGATGTTGAATAAAAAATACCCTAAAACAATTTAAAGTATTAATGCCATTAATGATAAAGCCATGTACTATTTAAACTTCAAAAGTCTTACCCTACAGTTGAGATTTTTCTGTCTGCATCATTCAGCAGTGATACCCTAATCAGCGTGGCTATAAGGTCAAGGCTACAGTAAACTTGTTGATTCAGATTGGGTTACAATATCACACTACAATCAATTAACAATTACCCCATGGAGATATAACTTGCTTTGTATTTATTCTTGCCTAATGTATTTCTTTTGTTACCTATAATCAGCCTGGCCTTTTTCTTTTTCAGGCTCTCCACCAGTCTGTTCCCTCCAGCTCCTTCTCCCCGGATATCACGCCTATCATACTTGCTGCACATAGAGACAATTATGAAATCATCAAACTGTTGTTGGACCGAGGCTATCGGATCCCCAAACCACATGATGTGCGCTGTATATGTAAAAAATGTTTAAATGGCAGTGATGAGGATAGTCTTCGTCACTCGCGATCGCGCATCAATGCGTACCGTGCTTTAGCGAGTCCGTCCCTCATTGCTCTGTCTAGTAAAGATCCCATCCTTACGTCCTTTGAGTTAAGCCGCGAATTGAAAAGACTTAGCAAACTTGAAAATGAATTCAAACTGGATTATGAAAAGTTAGCTAAAAAGTGTAAAGAATTTGCTGTTGATTTATTGGAGCAAACACGAGGTTCAAAGGAATTAGAGATTATCTTAAATCATGACATTGGTAATCATGGAGTTACTCCCCCTGAACAGGCAGACCCTCCCGCTGAGGAAAAAGTGAGGCTCTCCAGACTGAAGCTAGCTATTAAGTTCAACCAGAAAAAGGTAAATCATATATATTTTGCATGTTAGGTGCTAATTATATCGCCCAAAGCTAAAGGGCTAAAATTGACAGTTTTCGGTAGCTTTAAATCTTAGAAGCTAGGGCAAGATAGGTCGAATAACTGTTGACGTTTTGTTATAGTTTAACCATTATGATAGTAATTAACTTTGATAAGGGATAATTTGTAGATGAAGCTGTAAAATTCCTTCCAAGAATTCAAATACTGGATGTAAACAGTGCATGATTTTCTTTTGTATTTTGAATCCTCATAAGTCCTTCTTTGTCTTCATTATCTAGTGTTTTTTTTTTTTGGCAGCATTCATTTTCCATATTTTCTCTGTATTTCTCTGTATTTTTCTGTTCTTTGTTTCTCCATGTTTTTTTCTTATTTTTTTCCATATATGCTCCACATTTTTCTGTATTTTCTTATTAAATGCGGAAGAAATGTGGAAATTAGTGTCCAAATTTATATACTCCCATCCATATTTTTCCATATTTTTTGGAGAAAGTATGGAAATCTGAGGTACAGGAAGGATCTGTAGTATGGGACCAATTGTAATTAATCTCTCCTCACATTTCAGCCATTTATATTTGGAATATAATTTATTTTTTACATTTATGAAGTTATAACATTTGGTTTTTGGATAAAATCACATCACAAGTTAGCAATGCATGGTAAATATGTCTAGAAACAAAATGATGTTATCCAGACTTCGTAAATTAAAAAAAAGTAAAGTACATTCCGAAGTGAGCTTGCGCTATGACGTGGTGACTTTCAAGGTCACTTGGGTCAAATGAGTTCAAATCTTTTATCAAGTTCATCTCAATAACCAAAACACCCAAGATATTAGACAGGTAGCAATAGCATGCTCGGATAAAGGCTACCAAGTTTCTTCAAATGAACGACATTGACCACTTTCAAGGTCATAGCTAGGGGTAAAATATGTAAATATCTTCAAACAACTTCTTTTCGATAACCAAAATGTCTAGGGTTATGATTTTTGGCCAATGACCAAACCACCCAGGGTGACAATATTTGGTCAGTGGCATCCTGGGAGGAAGAAGTTCAAAGTTTGTTCTAACATATGACCTTGATCCACTTTCAAGGTCACAGATATCAAATGTGTGAAAATCTTCAAATAATTTCTTTTCAGTAATCATAAAGGACCTTCGTTATAGATGTGGCCAGAAACATGCTTGAATGAATTAAGGGCTGTCAAGTTTGTTTTAAAAATTACCTGGACCAACTTCTAAGGTTGTAGGGATATGAAATGTGTTAAAAAAAATTAAGAGGTTGTATTGAATGAACAAGAGCCATAAGTAAAGATATTTGGTCTGTACCTTAATTCAGTCCGTTTCTATATTTGATTTTTGTCCACTTTTAAGGTGTAAGATGACTGCATTCCCTTCTCAAAATTTATTTATTCTTCACAGTGTAAAGTTTTCAAAACATGTTCGGTAATTCTTTTAGGAGGCAGAACAGGAAGGAAGGACAAATTTGATTAAAAAAAAGAATTGCTTAAGATTTCACAACAGCAACAAAATAAAAAATTGTACCTTTCAGAATATATGTAAGGTTCCTAAAAACTAAACACTTATTTTTTTAAAGTAGCAATTAATTTTTTGCCTAAAAAGTTACGGTAATATATATGTTTCTTTGAAAGTAATGAGTAATACCAATTAGTTGTCTGAAAGTTCCTTTGTAGTTCCAGCATTGATATCTTTCTGGTAATAGCTCCAGCAGACAACCCACAAACCGGTCTTGCCCTAGTTAAGAGAGTCTTGGCACTTGATTTATAAATCAGCCCACGAATGACTACTTGTCCAGACTGCTCCTTAAGTATACGACAGATTTCACCGAAACTTTGCAAACATTTATTTTTTACTGTAGATTACTTTCATTCAGCGAGATATTTATGTTGAGTAAATTCATGACAAAAATTTATCAGGAAATTAGGTATAACACAATTATTATATGCCTGTCAACAATGGGTTGTACAATTCTACACCCTGCTTCTTTGTCCATCATGAATCTTTCCATCAGTCTGTTTCACGGTCATCTTTCCCTGTCAATGCAATCCTACCATATATATAGATGAATCTTAATCAAACTACGTGTAGATACAGATATTCCATACAAATTTAGCTTGAAGGGGTATGCATGTTAGAACTATTAATAATTATTTTTCATTTTGAAATTTGACTGCAAGGTACCTTACTGCTGTTTATCCTTTTAGCATGATTTTCTATTTTGTCAGATTTCATCAATTATGTTTTTAGCTTTTTGCCTTTCTTCCATACATCTTATTAACTTTTGGGTATTTACGTTTTGGTACATTTGCCTAAAAGTTCTATATATATGTAACCAGTCCTTATGACTCAGGACATACATTTAGGTGACTTTACTACATTGTTTGTTTAAAATCCATAGTCAAGTTGGATAGGTGATGTATTTTTCAACACTTATTTTCTCTATGTTTACTTTTCCAGTTTGTTGCTCATCCCAACTGTCAACAGTTACTAGCCTCTATCTGGTATGAGGGCCTGCCAGGATTCCGTCGTCATAGCATCATTCGCCGTCTGTTTGTTACATCGCTCATTGGAATTATGTTCCCTTTTTTGTCTTTATTCTACCTTGTTGCACCAAAGAGCGGACCAGGGAAACTGCTCCGCAAACCTTTTATAAAGTTTATATGCCACAGTGCTTCGTACCTGACATTTCTAGGTTTGTATATGGAAGCGATCTACAAAGTCAAACCTACTCACTGGCAGTTTGTTTAAAAAAGAAACATAAAACTTTAATAAGGAGAATTAAATATTGTAATGGGTCCTTACCGGTTAGGTGCCACCTGATTGTGTTGCCACCCAAATTTTATATTGGTAGCAGATGTGTTTATAGTCTTTTAAGTATATTGTAAGCTAATGGCACCATGTGTCATTGCATCATTTTCAAGTGGGTGTAAAATCCAATATGGCTGCCCATGGTGTCATAGGTCAAAATCTTAAATTGGCCATAACTCAAAACACTGTTGATAATACAGCATTCATGCAATGATAAGTTATAAGTTTTTCAGTACAGCATATTTTGTTTCATTTTGAAGCAAAATTTATTAACGTGAGAAAAGTCAATCTTGTTAAAGTGTAATAATGTATATACATGTAGTATACATATGAAATATTATTATGACTACAATATCTAAGAAGCTTGATTGCATCATTCAGCACATGGGAAATGATGTATTTTGCCCTAAAATCTGTAAATCATCCAATATATTGTATAGCTGTTTTTGCTCATGTGACTATAAGATATACACATTTCTCTCAAAACTGTTTTAATTCCACTAATTTGAACTTACTAACTGAAAATGTTTGAACATTAAATATTTCAAGTCAAAATAACAAAAGTTGAATAAACGTAGGTTAACTTTTTCAGATTATAATTAGTTTGAGGGTATAATATCTTTCACCTGAGCAATAGTCTGAGTTGAGGTTGTCCAAGTCTAATATTTTACTTACGTGGAGGTCATTGAGGGATGTTAGTCTTACCTTGACCTTACCATAACCTTTTTCAGTGTTACTTATACTGGTGTCCCAGAGGGTTGAGATCCCCTTCCCCTGGGCAACCAAGTTGGAGCCAGTGTCTGACATTGATAAGATCAGCCAGGAAGTACGGGGTGCACCTGCCACTAATGTAGAGTGGATGATCCTTGCCTATGTCGCAGGTAACAAGACATAACTGTTGCATTCAAGACAGCAAAACTGTCAAATCAGTAATGGGCAACTTAGGAAATCCTGAGTAAATCACAAACAGCTTATTATAGCAGTAACATGTGTACATATAAACGAGTTAATTGACTGCATTACCCTTTCAGGTAAATGGTAACACTACAGCATTGTGTGACACCATATATTGTCTATCTATTGATGACGTCATAGTACAGGTGCCTGCCACTAATGTCACCCCATGCTGTACTGTTACCATCCACCTCAAGAACTAATACAGTGAAAACGTTAGTGCGAAATGTAACGTTTTCTTTTGTCAATTAACTTGTTTCTTCATATAATTAACTTGCATTTTGTCAAGTTTGACATTTTTCTATATATATAATTAATGCATCAGGCACTTAGACACAAGGGATGATATATTATACCCTGTGTTTCTAAGAAGGTAATACAATACAAAAGGTTAACCATTACTAATTGTTTGATATTGACAGGTCTGGTGTGGGCCGAGGTGAAGCAGCTATGGGATGAGGGTGCCCATGAATACGTCCATGATATGTGGAACATTCTCGACTTCGTCACAAACTCCCTGTACATCGCTACATTGACGCTTCGTGTAATAGCGTATCTACAGGTAACGTGGCCTCTCCTTTAAGATTACGAGTCATATATATTGATTACCTACAGGTCAAGGTCACAAAGTTATGAAAATAAGTCTACAGAATGAACTGTCATCAAAATAATATACTTATATCCCCTGCAAACAAACTCTGGAGGTATATAGGAATAAGCCTGTCTGTCCATCTGTCTGTCCATCCATCTGTCCATGAAAATACTATATACCCCTGCAAACAAACCTATATGAATACCTAGATAAGATTAAGTGGGGGTTATGTCTTTGTGAGGTCGCTCACACTTTCTCTAGTTTCTACTTGATAATAACCCATATACTTACCCAAATAGTTTCTATGAGTCATAAACAAACAACACAATTAAAAACATTAGTTTGTATCTTTGCATATCAAATATTTGATGAAGGTTTCAAGCTTTAAGAAATCTTTTTAATCTTCAGGTCCAGCAAGAAAAAAACGAGGGTAAAGCATCAGCAAATCTCCAGCGGAAAGATTGGAATGCGTATGATCCTAATCTGATTGCCGAGGCCTTGTTTGCTGCAGCCAATATATTTAGTTCTTTAAAACTGATTTACATGTTCACTGTAAACCCCCACCTGGGGCCTCTTCAGATCTCACTTGGTCGTATGATTGTGGACATTATGAAGTTTGCTATAGTGTACATGATGGTGCTCTTCTCCTTCTCCTGTGGTCTTAACCACCTCTACTGGTACTATGCAACACTCCGGGAGAAGGAATGCAAGATTTACAAAATACAGGCGTCATGTGATAGGCGCTACAAAAGTTTCGCGAAGTAAGTACCCCAAACAGTTCACGTTTGGGTCTGCATTGAATATTACCATTTGTTTTATATCATCAAGAGTCGGTATTGTTTGTTACAGTTTTAGATTATCATGCCCCCGCATCAGAGTTGTAAATGTCTATATAAGTTTTTATGCCCAAATACACTTTGGTTTCCAGAGATTATCTTGGAATCCAAAAGAATACTCTTTCTGAAATGTGACATGGTTATACACTGTGAAATACGCAATATAGAGGTCTCAAAAGTTTTTAAGGTCCAGGTCACTGCTACTTAAAATATACCATAGGGGATGGGGGGTAACGTCCTTATCTCTAAATGAAAATTGAAGACCACACTTTCTGAAGATTGTCTCAGAATGCAAACGATTTATCATTTTGAATTTTGACATGGTAATACACTATGATATTTAGATGTGCCATAGCAGTTTAGAAAGTTTCTAAGGTCAAGGTCACTGTTGCTAAAATTAGACCATGAGGAATGGGGTCATCCCTACTGACGTTTTACTAGTTCTAGTCCAAATTCCGTATTGTATTTACAGTTTGTTTGAAATCATCAAGAGTTTGTATAAAGTCTCAATTGTATGAAACAGTTTTAGATTATCAAAAATCCAAAGTTTGTTCAAGATCACGAAAAGTTTTCCTTGTATGTTACAGTCTGTTTGAGATCATCCAGAGTCTATACTGGTCAATATATGGACTAGTAGATTTGGAGCATGCAGAGCTGGAGGAACCCCACGAGTTCACCGAGTTCATTGGGAAGCTGATGTTTGGTAGCTACAGCTGGATAGCATTAGTGGTCCTGCTGAACCTGCTTATAGCTATGATGAGCAACTCCTACCAAAATATATCAGTATGTACAAACTTTATCTCCAATTATTTACGGTGTTAAATTGTTTTAAACCATTTAGTATTTGTTAAAGTTAAAAATTATTTTTGAATGTATGTATAAATGAATTTTTAGCCTTCTTCAAACCTCATAGAGTAAATTTTAACAACAATTTCCTTATTAGATTTTTTTCTGGCAGCTGCAGTTTTTCGGATTTGTCACTAACAAATTGTGAACTTGAAATATGTTTTCTCTCCTACTTATTCATCATATACACATGGTTACCTTATCTGTTCATATTAGGTACTGTAAGATAATAGAAGACTCTTTCATGCCCAGGGGTGTAGGATAGGGAAATTCCACTCAAGGGGTTTTCAAACTTGGTAAAACCTGAGGCTTTGCCGAATTTGAAAATCCAGAGGGTGGAATTTCTCTATTCTACACCCTTGGGCATGAAAGAGTATTTTTCTCTCACTCCAACCATCAGATTAATCTCAGAAACCATGAAAATGCTTTTGGACTGGCCACAATTTTGAAAATATCAATTTTCCCACAAGCTTTTTAGACGGAAAAGAATCTGTCAGCCAGATTCAGCATACCCCATATTTGCAAACTAAGTTTGTGCAAAAAAAATAATCACATCTTTTTAAAGTATACAGTAAATACATCATAAAAGGTTTAAATTTCATCACGTCTCCTTTTCCGCATTTTGGCATCAGAGATTTTCAAACTATGACATCACGTCACTGTTGAGCCATTGTGACGTCACGTCACGTGAAATGGGGAGTAAGAAAGAAATTTCTTACATCCCTTCCTTACCCTGGACAGCTCTGATACACAGGGAAATGAGATAAAATGATTGCTTAAATATCCAGATGAGCAGTACAGGACTTTTGGGCCTCTTGTTGTTAGGTTGCTATATTGTATAGGTTCATTGATATCTTTTAAATACAAGAGGATTTCATGTCAGTTTCTTTGTTTTTGTTTTCTTTCATAAGCATCAAATTCCATTCAAAATATATATACTTGGTTGCTATAATTTGACTACATTTAATAGCTGTTTTTTGACCATGTAAGAATATACACAAAATACACAAATGTACAACAGTACCTCAATAACCAGAACATCCCATGGCCAGTTCCTGTACAAAAGCATGAGTGGCATTTTATCTCTCTTTTAAGTGTTTCAAAGACAATTTCTGTCAACAAGAAGGTTTTAATCCATCTTTAAAGTGTTTCAATGACAATTTCTGTCAACAAGGAGGTTTTAATCCATCTTTAAAGTGTTTCAATGACAATTTCTGTCAACAAGGAGGCATGCATTTACAGATTATGAAATCATAATGGTTAAAACTGTACACAGCTTTTGTCTGTCGATAGGGACACTGTTTCAGCCCTATGATTTTGTAAAGAGCTAAAACTGTTATATATGGGCCTAGAAACCAGACCATGGTGCCAAAAATAATGGGGAAAATATGTAAAGGAAACAAATACTGAAACTGTATTTAGTATTGCAATTGATACTTTTCATTCTCAGATAGACAAGAAAAAAACAAGTTTAAAATCCAACATGGCAGCCTCCATTGTTGAATAAGTGCACATGCTGTTTTCCCAAGTAGGCAAATAAATATCCAAATGATTAGTTTGGCTAGGTAGGAGATATTTCAAACTAGGCTTTTAGCTATTTAACTGGATTTTGTATATATACATAACACATAATACTAATAATACATCAAAAGTGTTGGCTGTTATCAGAGATTGAAAATCCTCTGGACTAAATATTATCACAGAATGATAATCTTCTCTTGTGCTAAGTATTATCACAGATTGTAATTAAAGCATGTTTCATTTTGTGTTTTGCGAGCAGAGCCAGGCAGATGAAGAGTGGAAGTTTGCACGGTCCAAACTATGGATCAGTTATTTTGAAGACAGCGGCACCTTACCTCCACCGTTTAATATAATCCCCTCCCCAAAAACTTTTTACTACCTTCTCTTGTGGTTCAAATCTAAACTATGTGCCTGTTCCAAACAACAGAAGAGAAGTCGTTGGCAGAGTATACGTGTAAGTGATCAAGGTTATATTTTATCTCAAGGTCAATATCCTATATACCACTGATGTTGAGTGGGGATAGAGAAGGCTTTTATGGAGGGAATTATAGACAATGCTTACTTTGAAAACTTTCATATTTTTTCATGTGGGGGAATTTATTTGGCAGAATATATTATTTTTTCTTCCAATAACTCCTTATTGACAAAATAGTAGTTTAGAAATCATAATTTAAACTGTTCCATGCAATAAATTAATTGAATGTTGTCAAAATTAAACTTGAAGGAATTCTGCTTATTTCAAAGTTCAAAAGTGGAAGTGAAGACTTCAATTTCCCTCTAAAGCGGGATAACTTGTTCTGTATCGAAATCGTAGAAAATACTTTTTAACATTGATGCATAAAGCAGTAGGTATTTGATATGAATTTAACAAAAAGGGAAATTAGATTAACAATATGTAATGTTTGAATGGAACTGCTGGAATGTTCTATAACAAGACCACAATCCTAGTCAAATGTTTTATAACAAGACCACAGTCCTAGTCAAATGTTCTATAACAAGACCACAGTCCTAGTCAAATGTTTTATAACAAGACCACAGTCCTAGTCAAATGTTTTATAACAAGACCACAGTCCTAGTCAAATGTTTTATAACAAGACCACAGTCCTAGTCAAATGTTTTATAACAAGACCACAGTCCTAGTCAAATGTTTTATAACAAGACCACAGTCCTAGTCAAATGTTTTATAACAAGACCACAGTCCTAGTCAAATGTTTTATAACAAGACCACAGTCCTAGTCAAATGTTTTATAACAAGACCACAGTCCTAGTCAAATGTTTTATAACAAGACCACAGTCCTAGTCAAATGTTTTATAACAAGACCACAGTCCTAGTCAAATGTTTTATAACAAGACCACAGTCCTAGTCAAATGTTTTATAACAAGACCACAGTCCTAGTCAAATGTTTTATAACAAGACCACAGTCCTAGTCAAATGTTTTATAACAAGACCACAGTCCTAGTCAAATGTTTTATAACAAGACCACAGTCCTAGTCAAATGTTTTATAACAAGACCACAGTCCTAGTCAAATGTTTTATAACAAGACCACAGTCCTAGTCAAATGTTTTATAACAAGACCACAGTCCTAGTCAAATGTTTTATAACAAGACCACAGTCCTAGTCAAATGTTTTATAACAAGACCACAGTCCTAGTCAAATGTTTTATAACAAGACCACAGTCCTAGTCAAATGTTTTATAACAAGACCACAGTCCTAGTCAAATGTTTTATAACAAGACCACAGTCCTAGTCAAATGTTTTATAACAAGACCACAGTCCTAGTCAAATGTTTTATAACAAGACCACAGTCCTAGTCAAATGTTTTATAACAAGACCACAGTCCTAGTCAAATGTTTTATAACAAGACCACAGTCCTAGTCAAATGTTTTATAACAAGACCACAGTCCTAGTCAAATGTTTTATAACAAGACCACAGTCCTAGTCAAATGTTTTATAACAAGACCACAGTCCTAGTCAAATGTTTTATAACAAGACCACAGTCCTAGTCAAATGTTCTATAACAAGACCACAGTCCTAGTCAAATGTTTTATAACAAGACCACAGTCCTAGTCAAATGTTCTATAACAAGACCACAGTCCTAGTCAAATGTTTTATAACAAGACCACAGTCCTAGTCAAATGTTCTATAACAAGACCACAGTCCTAGTCAAATGTTTTATAACAAGACCACAGTCCTAGTCAAATGTTCTATAACAAGACCACAGTCCTAGTCAAATGTTTTATAACAAGACCACAGTCCTAGTCAAATGTTCTATAACAAGACCACAGTCCTAGTCAAATGTTTTATAACAAGACCACAGTCCTAGTCAAATGTTCTATAACAAGACCACAGTCCTAGTCAAATGTTTTATAACAAGACCACAGTCCTAGTCAAATGTTCTATAACAAGACCACAGTCCTAGTCAAATGTTTTATAACAAGACCACAGTCCTAGTCAAATGTTTTATAACAAGACCACAGTCCTAGTCAAATGTTCTATAACAAGACCACAGTCCTAGTCAAATGTTTTAAAGTATAATATGCTCAGGTTAAGTATTAAGAATGGTACAGCTGTAAGATTTTAGGAATTGTACAGTTGTAAAATGAAAAATAGGAATGGTATACGTAAGGTTGAAGGTTAAGAAATGAATGGTTAGAATTTTATTAGTAGGATAAGAAATGAGGCAGGGCAGAGTTTTAGGATAGTTGAAAAAGAATTTTAGTGAATCCAGTCGCACCAAGATAAAAGATTATGTCTTGTAATGTGATTTTATGGCATTGCTGTGCTGGTAAGTGGATCCATGATATCTCAATTATTGAAAAGTCATGTCATATTTTACCTTTGACAGAATTTCTTTAAATGATACTAAGAATCTGTCAGAATACAACATTGTGAACCATTGTGAACTTTCATTCAGTGTAATACATTTAGCATTACAGTAAATTCACCCGTATTTGAATATTAATCTTAAATAAAATATTAAAAACTTATTTGATATATACTGCATAAATGTACATATTTTTTTTTTGTTCCAGAAAATTGTAAAGAAGATAAATGAGAGAGAAATAAGATATCAGGTGAGTTTGTACAGTTGTTGGCAGTAGGGCAAGGGAGGCTACTCTTACATCGCTCCTTACACTGCCAGTCGTCACCCTTTTATCATGTTCTCCCTAGTGTGGCTTCAGTCATTAATTTACAGTTGATTCCTGCAACTAACATTGCTAGATAGTGGGACAACTGGATTAGTGGTGACTGGATTAACATGGCTAGATATATAGTGGTACAACTGGATTAGTGGTGACTGGATAAACAAGGCTAGATAGTGGGACAACTGGATTAGTGGTGACTGGATTAACATGGCTAGATAGTGGGACAACTGAATCAGTGGTGACTGGATTAACATGGCTAGATATATAGTAGAACAACTGGATTAGTGGTGACTGGATAAACAATGCTAGATAGTGGGACAACTGGATTAGAGGTAGCTGGATTAACATGGCTAGATAGTGGGACAACTGGATTAGTGGTGACTGGATTAACAAGGCTAGATAGTGGACAACTGGATTAGTGGTAGCTGGATTAACAAGGCTAGATAGTGGGACAACTGGATTAGTGGTGACTGGATAAACAAGGCTAGATAGTGGGACAACTTGATTAGTGGTGACTGGATAAACAAGGCTAGATATATAGTGGTACAACTGGATTAGTGGTGACTGGATAAACAAGGCTAGAAAGTGGGACAACTGGATTAGTGGTGACTGGATAAACAAGGCTAGATAGTGGGACAATTGGATTAGATGTGACTGGATAAACAAGGCTAGATAGTGGGACAACTGGATTAGTGTTGACTGGATTAACAAGGCTAGATAGTGGGACAACTGGATTAGTGATGACAGGATAAACAAGGCTAGATTGTGGGACAACTGGATTAGTGGTGACTGGATAAACAAGGCTAGATAGTGGGACAATTGGATTAGTGGTGACTGGATACACAAGGCTAGATAGTGGGACAACTAGATTAGTGGTGACTGGATTAACAAGGCTAGATAGTGGGACAACTGGATTAGTGGTGACAGGATAAACAAGGCTAGATTGTGGGACAACTGGATTAGTGGTGACTGGATAAACAAGGCTAGATAGTGGGACAACTGGATTAGTGGTGACTGGATAAACAAGGCTAAGTTGTGTACTTTTAATGATGATCAACCCATGTTATCAACACACCACAACGACAAAGCTGTGTTACTACTTGCAATATGTTTAAGAAAAATTCAATGCCATTGCCTTTGTGCAGATTATTTGATAAAGTAATATATGACATCATACTTATCTGTTAATTCTTTGGTTCTTTATGAGGATTGCATACAGCCCGGAGGCTACTAGATGTTGTCCTCAACATATAACAACACAATACAATGTGTACAATGACAAAATATGACACAGATATGAAACAGATATTACACCCATTCACACACTTTCACTCAGACACCCACACAATAGCAAAAAGGAAAGAGAAAGAGAAAAGAAAGAAGACGGATAGAAACGGAGACATTTAGAATCTTTTGGACTTTGCAATAAATTTGAATACAAGATAAAAAAAAAATGTTTGAAGATTCACTGATTGCATCAGAACTGGTTCCATGTACAAGTATCTTAACAAGACATATATGTGTACATCTGCTGTGATGTCGTGATTTATTGTATGTATTTGGTTAAAAAAGGAATCATGTGTTATTACTTTCCTGGCACCACACTGACATTGTAAAGAGCTCTTTGGTATGATGACTGGATCTGTTCAGTAAGCTTATTCACCTAACTGATTTTTAATAATTCTTTTCAATCTTGTCATTTTGAAGTTGTACGTGTCCTAGTTATATAAACATGACAAACTAACGCCATCTGTGTCTGTTTTGTTGAAGGCTGTGATGAGGGACCTTATAAAACGCTACATCATGCAAAAACAGCGAGGTCCGGAGCGAGGAGAAGGAGTTACAGAGGATGATGTCAGTGAAATTAAACAAGACATTTCTTCATTTCGTTATGAGCTTTTAGAAATTCTCCGCAGCAACGGGATGAAGACACCAAATCCTAACCAGCCCAAGCCCACGAGTAAGAAACTGCGATACTGGAAACAACTAGTCGGCACCTTATCTGACAGCTTTGACTCCTCGCAGAATTTAACTCCAGAATGAGCATGTGCGAACCCTAGAGCCAACAGCTTTGTTTGGGTTACTTCTGACACTCCCTAGCTGTTGTGTTGTCGAGGGTTTACAGGGCGTGGGCTACACTGTTGTGTCTTTGTGTTCTCTTATTTCTGAGAAGCCCTTTTAACCTTTTCATAATATTTGATAAATCAGACAAGTTTTGTAGTGAGCATTTGTGAACCTTATTTATATATTTAATTTTTTATTTATTTTGTGTTATTATTTCAAAGATTATTTAAATATTTGAATTTTTTATTTAATGTTGATGTTGTGTGCTTTTGAATCTCAATTTATTAGAACTTTTTATGATTTATCTATATTCTTGTGATTTGAGAGCTTTTTAAAGAGTGTGTTTGCTGTAGTAGGACTGGTGATATTGTTAGAGTATAATTTGTGTTAGCTCTTTGTTTGCAGATGGTTGTGTACTTGATTATTTTAATTCCCTCTGTGAAATTACCTTGGATGTTATTTATTTATAAACTGACGATCAGAAATACGGTGGTTGTACAGATATTACGGGTTTAAGTATAGGATTTCTCCAGCATCTTACCATGATATTATCGACAAGGAAGTCTCTTTCATGGACTTTTTTTAATGTAGACATTTTAAAAACTTTACAGGAAGCGTAACAGCTAAGGTATATGAGGGGAAAATACAGCCTTACTGGCATGTTAGTTTTTCCAGTGGTGCGGTATAACCCGGGGACTCGCTCACTAGTTCAGCAACGTTGAGCGTGGTCAGTAGTTGGATGGGTGATTGCCCGTATGTTACACTTGGTGGCAGCGTAGTGACTCTTGTGATCACGCAAGACCAGTTACCTGTAGTTAGGGAAGGTGCATTGATACACAGAGAGGACCTAGTTGCTTGCTCAGGCCAAGTTTGTGGATCAGACTTCTCAGAGGGTGGAATAGTATAACAACTAAGGTATATGAGGAGGAAATACTGCCTTACTGGCAAGCTAGCTTCTCCAGTGATGCGGTATAACCTGAGGACCCGCTCACTTGTTCAGCAGCATCGAGCGTGGTCAGTAGTTGGATAGTTGGATGGGTGACCACCCGCACATTACAGAACATCTAAAAAGATAAAAAGTGATAGCAATTTCCAGGATTTTTTATATTGATGAATCAGAAGAAATGATGCTGGCACTGTTAGGTAACAGTGCTGTTGTAACAGGAACCCCTCACTAGATGGCGCTGCAGTAACAGAAAACTCGTGCCAGGCAGCACTGCTGTTTTGGACTATGGTGTGCTATTTGTTGCCTGGAGTTTGACTTACATAGGTGATACTGCCCAGGACATTTGGATTTGAGGGTACAATGTTTGTGAGGTTGCCATGGAAACACTACAAGGTGATTTAGAATGCTGTGTATTCTTGCAATGCCAGATAGCTTAGATCACTGCACTTTCCTCTCTAACTATGATGAGTATGTCTGACTGGGATCTGCTTCTACTAATATAACTCGCTAACACTCTACTGCTTCTTGTTTGTATGATACGCCCGATCTCATCAGATTTTGACCTCTGACCTCTTCAATCCCCTTTCAGCCCTTGGGCCACTAGTAGCCAGATCTTCTTCCCTATATTAGTCGTGTTAAACATACATACGACAATAAAACCTGAATGGCCTTGACATTTACATATGTAGGGTTGTAATACAATGTACCTGAATGAACTTGGACCAATCAATCTATACCTGAATAAGGGTTGAAATACCTGAATGACCTTGACATTTCAATCTTAAATTGTGGTATTTTAAATCTGGATGTCTGATGATAAACAGCAGACCTCAGAATTCCTTTAATGAGATTGGCTTAAATACTGTTCTTTGCCATTGGCATTAGATTTAATTTATTTTTAATTACAAATAACATTCTTTGTTTATAGTAGCGACTCCCATTATAATTTACTCATTTGTTAGATTCCTCACCAAAATCTATTTAATAAATACTTTCCCTTCCATCCATCATTTGCTTTTTGTTCCCTGTCCTGCTTGCTAACCCAGCTCTGACAGCCTTCCTTGCACACCTGGACCTGGTTCATGAATATTTCTCAGTTCTTTTCTCACCTTAAATCCTGAACTCTAAATTCTTGAGAACTTTTAATAAGGATGTACCTGAATGTAATTTTAAAGATAAAGTAAGGTACCATATTTTTTTTATGAAATTTCATGAAGCTTGTCCCTGAGTTTAGCCATATGTGTTGCCTTGTTGTGTTGTTCTAGTGTGTTAGCATGATGTAGACATTATATAGACAATGAAAGGACATTATTTACTACACTGACATTATATAAACAATGAAAGGACATTAATTACTACACTTACATTATATAAACAATGTAAGGACATTATTTACTACCCTGACATTATATAGACAATGTAAGGACATTATTTAATCCACTTACATTATATAGACTATGTAAGGACATTATTTAATACACTTACATTATATAGCCTATGTAAGGACATTATTTACTACACTGACATTATATATACAATGTAAGGACATTATTTAATACCCTGACATTATAAAGACAAGGTAAGGACATTATTTACTACACTGACATTGTAAAGACAATGTAAGGACATTATTTACTTCCCTGACATTATAAAGACAATGTAAGGACATTATTTACTCCCCTGACATTATAAAGACAATGTAAGGACATTATTTACTACACTTACATTATTTAGACAATGTAAGGACATTATTTACTACCCTGACATTATAAGGACAATGTAAGGACATTATTTACTACCCTGACATTGTAAAGACAATGTAAGGACATTATTTACTCCCCTGACATTATAAAGACAATGTAAGGACATTATTTACTACACCTACATTATATAGACTATGTAAGGACATTATTTACTACACTGACATTATATAAACAATGAAAGGACAATAATTACTACACTTACATTATATAAACAATGTAAGGACATTATTTAATAACCTGACATTATATAGACAATGTAAGGACATTATTTAGTACACTTACATTATATAGACTATGTAAGGACATTATTTAATACCCTGACATTATAAAGACAATGTAAGGACATTATTTACTGCCCTGACATTATAAAGACAATGTAAGGACATTATTTACTCCCCTGACATTATAAAGACAATGTAAGGACATTATTTACTCCCCTGACATTATAAAGACAATGTAAGGACATTATTTACTCCCCTGACATTATAAAGACAATGTAAGGACATTATTTACTGCCCTGACATTATAAAGACAATGTAAGGACATTATTTACTGCCCTGACATTATAAAGACAATGTAAGGACATTATTTACTGCCCTGACATTATAAAGACAATGTAAGGACATTATTTACTGCCCTGACATTATAAAGACAATGTAAGGACATTATTTACTACACCTACATTATATAGACTATGTAAGGACATTATTTACTACACTTACATTATATAGACAATGTAGGGACATTATTTACTACACTTACAATATATAGACAATGTAGGGACATTATTTACTACACTGACAATTTTTGACTTATGATCATCTCATGATCTTGGGGCTAGGAACTCTGTCAGGCACCAAATCATCTTGCCAAGAAATATCCATATATATATTAAACCATAAGGAAGATTTTGATGATTGAAAGGTCAACAACCTCATAATCTTGATACGATCATAGTGACAAATCCATGAAACGAGTACTTGGATGGTAGTGGATAGGTATGTACATGGATATGTATTGCACAAATATTGTATGTTAGACACAGTATATATAACTACTACAGATTAGTACAGGTGTTAAACCTGTGATAAACTAATGTATGTATATGATATATAGAGGTTCCTCAGTGAGTGGTGGTTGGTTATGATTTTTATCAAACTGGAGTTAGTTGATATTCAAATTGTATATTTAGGACACAAGGTTTACCAAGCAACTTTTACAATTTGAAAATTAATTAGTACCTGATAATCAACCATCACAAGTTTTGGGACCTTTTTGTCCCAAGGTTTACCAAGCAACTTTTACAATTTGAAAATTAATTAGTACCTGATAATCAACCATCACAAGTTTTGGGACCTTTTTGTCCCACGGCGGTCAGAAATTATACATAAATGTATCTAGAAATTATGCATAACTATATCTAGAGAAAACCATAGGATCTCATTAATACATGATTCCAGCTTTTGATCAGACAATTTGTAATGGAAGATGACATCACAAAGTATATTACTTGCCATCATAATTAGAAGATTGACCAAGGATTTAATATCCAGGGTATAACCCACTATATTGGGTAATTAAACTTGATCACAAACTCCTTGCAGGTACCTAAAGTGGTTGTGGGAGAAATTGTATTTTTACATTTAATTACAATTTGATTTCTGGCATGTACATGTAAAAGCCAAGAAATACCCACACACAATGTAAAAACAATACCGTATAGACATGTTACAGACCTTGTACTATGCATAGATACATTTGTACTATACAAGCATTAACATTACATAGACTTTATACGGATGTTACATAGATATTGCATGTGTGTAGAAGTGCATGACTCCCTTCATTAATGTACATTGTATATATGTATTGCTCACTGTGTATCACCAGGTAATTAAATAATTATGTCTGAATAGTACCAGGTACAAAAGTTGTGAAAAAATGCTTTGATACAAAACACATGATATTACTGTAATACTATGGTGAGACAGGGATAACTCACATCGGGAAAAGTGTGGATAAGAGGTATAAATGCACACATTGGTCTCCAGTTCGAGAACTGCATCCTCTAACTTCTGGCATAAGGAAGTGCATGAAAACAAATGTTTGAGTGACAGTATTCAGCACTATATGGGCTGATGTTCTGAAACATGACATCATGAAACAGATCTTTTAGTCAGCAGAAGAAGTTCACTTGGTACAAATGACCATGATGAGCTTATATGGTGTTACTTTGTCTGTCCTTCAGTTGAACTCATCTTTAAGCAGCATCCCAAAATCTTCTACCAATTTGGGATTGTACCGTCTTCAGGCCATGGGAATCTAAAGTTACACAAATATAGAAATTGATCTTCCAAGGGGAATAAGGGGCAGGGTCAAAGGGGTCAAAGTAGCTGGTTTCCTTTAATATACATTTTGTGCCAAAATTGTATTGTAGCATCCTAAGCCAGTACAATGGATTGATAAAAAAGTATACAATTAAAGAGACTGACCCTCTTGGAGTCTAAGAGGCAGGATAAAACCATGTCAAATTGGCAGATTACATCTTCATCCAAAACACTGGACAACTTTCAACCAAACTGTGGTTGTAGCTTCCTCAGCCTATAAAAATAGTATATGGTAGAAAGGAAGGGCCTGACTGCTTGAAGCAGCTTATTATTAAGGAGTCAAATTGGCTGGTTTGGTTTAAACAACATCTGTTTTCAAACTACAGGTTAAGTTTAAACCAAATTGTTGTCATAGCTATGTATATATAGCCAAATGTTATACATATGAATTAAAAGTGGCTAACATTCCTGGGGGTTATCCTCCTAAAATACTGAGCAGATTTCAACTCACTTCCAAATTACAATAGTCAGGTCAGCGATGCAAGGCCATTGATAGTCCAAAGAAACTGTATTTCTTACATGATTCAACATCTGATATCTTTATTATACCATATAACAATTAAACTGTTACTCATTTGTCCCCTTTTACCTCCTTTGTCCCCTTCTACCTCCTTTGTCCCCTTCTACCTCCTTTGTCCCCTTCTACCTCATTTGTCCCCTTCTTCCTCCTTTGTCCACTTCTACCTCCTTTGTCCCCTTCTACCTCCTTTACCTCTTTGTTCTCTCTGTAGCAGTTTATCTTCTTTTTTTCTTCTCTTGTTCCCTGCTAACAAACTCCAGCTTCTGTAGTACTGTGTACTCAGGCCTTTTATTATTCTTCATGGTTGATTTGCATATTCAGTAATACTGCATACATGTAGGTGTTATTTAATCCTTCATGGTTCATCTGTGATTCTGCATGGTTGATTTGTAACCCTTTATGGTTCATCTGTGATTCTGCATGGTTGATTTGTATGTTTAATGGTTCATCTGTGATTCTGCATGGTTGATTTGTAACCCTTCATGGTTCATCTGTGATTCTGCATGGTTGATTTGTAACCCTTCATGACTCATCTGTGATTCTGCATGGTTGATTTGTAATCCTTCATGGTTCATCTGTGATTCTGCATGGTTGATTTGTAACCCTTCATGGTTCATCTGTGATTCTGAATGATTGATTTGTAACCATTTATGGTTCATCTGTGATTCTGCATGGTTGATTTGTAATCCTTCATGGTTCATCTGTGATTCTGCATGGTTGATTGTAACCCTTCATGGTTCATCTGTGATGGTTGAGAATTGGTCGGTGATATTGCATGGTCAGCTGTGATGGTTGAGAATTGGTCGGTGATATTGCATGGTCAGCTGTGATATATTGCTTGGTTTGTCATAAAGTATTGAAAGTTGCTTCAGATACAAATGTACCACGTGGAAATGGATAACTTTTACAATATCGTTATTCATCAGTATTGTTTGTATTGAAAAAACAATATTATAACAGATAATGTAATACTATAACATACATGTAACATAATGTTATAATAAACACATATCCTAAAGTTGTTGTAAAGCCTGAATACATTTGTTGATTTGTTATCAATTAAAAATTAGTAGATTTAGTATATTACCTATATGTAAAATGTTTTTATTGAGGAAATTCAAAGAAACAAAAGATTTGTACAGGACACAAAAGATTTAGAATTTCACGAAGACAATGTAATTATTTTTATTAACAGATCGGCGAAGGTTGAGTTCCCGTAAACGTAGTCAGATGTTGAACCGGTCCTTTGGGAAGGGGATGTCTACAGGGTTTCCCAGTAATGGATGCCTTGACTTGGGATCTAAACCTACCACGCCTACATTTGGAAATGGAAGCACCATCCCAGATACCATAGTAGAAGAAAGTGTAATGGACACAACAAATACCCTCGGAGTGGAAATGTTGGGTCTACCATCACTCTCACCCTCCCCGAGTACCTCAAACCTCATTGATCTCTCCCCGGAGGCCTGGGGACAGAGTGGGTCGGCCTCGGGACAGAGTGGGTCGGCCTGGGGTCAGAGTGGGTCAGTATCAAACCGCAAACAGAAGGCCTCCTTACACCTACAGGCTCTCCGTACGGATGAAGGACTCGGGGAATCTATTGACCTCAACTCGGAGCACAGTAACTATAGTCCTAAACTGGCTGATAAATTTGAGGCAGACACTCAGAGACCATCCAAGCATGAGCGCAATTCAAAGTCTTACCTTGACCCTGATTTTTCCATGTTGTCTAATTGTAGTCCAGGTGAAGGTCACACAGATAGGTCAGGAAAGCGTGTCACATTTTTATGATTGTAAATACATGTAGCTGTTTAGCAGAGATATGTTTTCATGATTTGAGAGGAATCTAATATTTCTGTTTTTACAAATAATTTTATGAATATATTATCCATACAGTTGTACCATATAAACAACCCATACATTTATGTCATACTGATACCCATTTTATACAGCTAGGGTATATATCACACAGATACCTCATACAGGTATCTCACACAGCTGTATCATACATATACCACATACAGCTGTATCACACAGATACCACACACAGATTTATCACAAAGATACCACATACAGCTGTGTCACACAGATACCAAACACAGATTTATCATACATATACCACATACAGCTGTATCATACATATACCATACACAGATTTATCACACAGATACCACATACAGCTGTATCATACATATACCACACACATATTTATCACACAGATACCACATACAGCTGTATCATACATATATCATACACAGCTGTATCATACAGATACCACATACAGCTGTGTCATACAGATACCACACACAGCTGTATCATACAGATACCACATACAGCTGTATCATACATATACCACACAC